CACATACACACACATACACACACATACACACACATACACACACATACACACACGACCTCATCACGAGTCAGTGGAAGTCCGTCCGGAACAGTTTGTCCAGCAATGGCCCGTGTTTTGCGAAGAAGTTGTGTTTAGCAACTACTTAACACAACAGTCCGTACGTTGTTTTTTTTTCAACTCTTTTGTATGGAGTGGTGGTGTATATCAATTGTGGCAATTGTGGCAGACTGTTTCGTCGGACCTACACCGACCGACTCATCATGAGGTCGGTTGTATTGTCATGTTCGAGAAAGACAAAACTCCACACACACAAAAAGCATGACTGTACCATAGTGTTTGTCATGTTCGATAAAGACAAAAACTCCACACACACAAAAAGCATGACTGTACCAGACTGTTTGGAAACAGTGTGGTATAGTCATGCTTTTTGTGTGTGTGGAGTTTTTGTCTTTATCGAACATTGCAATACAACCGACCTCCTGATGAGTCGGTCGGTGAACGTCCGACGAAACAGTCTGCCACAATTGATATACACCACTCCATACAAAAAAGTTGAAAAAAACAGTGTGTACGTGTGTGTATGTGTATGTGTGTGTATGTGTGTGTATGTGTGTGTATGTGTGTGTATGTGTGTGTGTTTGTTGTCAAGAAAATCCAAACCCTCTCTCTCATNGGGTAGGGACGGTGCTTCCCACCCAAAAACTTTGAAAAGAAGGGTGGGGGTTATAGTGTTAGGGGGTGCTTGTCACTGCTGTCTGGTGACTGCTCTCGATACTGGTAGGGCGATGGTACTGACACTGAGGTAGGATAGTAGGGATAGGGGGTGTGCTGGGAGCATCAACGTGGGGAAGGCTAGGGAAGGTGGCCTATCCTGTCAGGACAACCACCGGCTGCCGCTGCCAGCAATCACTGTGGGTCTAGTCCTTGGCCTCAACAACACCATGGTGCGCTACAGCCAACCGGGGGGGACCACTTTTTCCTTTGCCCTCACAAAGCTCTCGTGCTGCCACTGCTTGCTCTTCTGCTACTGCATTTTCTACTGCTGCAGTTCCTACTGCTGGGGTTTCTATCGCTGCGGTTTCCGCCGCTACAGATTCTATTCCTGTGGTTTCTGCTGCTGCAAGGAACCATCCATTGAGGCTTTATTTTAGTTTGTTGAAAATAACTGGCTATTTTAATACGAGGTACTAACCTTTCTTTTTCTCTTTGGGCCTTTTGAGCTTCTTTCTCGTCAAGAGGGTCAAAATAAGCTAACTCTTCGCATGTTTTACGACTTTCATCTATAGTATTTTGAAGACAAAAAAAAAACAAAATGTTCATCTTGGAGACGTAAATATGTTAACTTTAAAATTGTTTCTGCTGCAGTTCCAGTGCAGAGAACATCGCAGTCTCTCTGACATTTTAACCTCTTGCCCAATCAAGCCCCCTCTCATCTCTTTTTGTGCTTGGCCACAGACAGCTGTGTTCCTTCTCGCCACCCCCGTCTCCTTCACGGTCTCACTTGCGAACAGACTCTGCTGTTCCTATTGTTCCACCTTCATTGGCGGCCACTCCTCTTGTTGTGTATCGTCCACAGTATGCACCGCATCGTCGCTTGCCCGGAGAGATCAGCACCCTGTTTCTTTGTCTGCCCCGATTCTCTCTCTGTCTGCTACACAGGTGGTTGCAGTTCCTTTGTTCCAGATGACAATATCTGCTCCTATGCCCCCTGCAGACAGTCCAGCTTCTTGCGGGCAGCCACACGGCCGTGTTTTATGTTCTGCAGCATGAGATATACATGGGTGACCTGGACAACAGGATACAGTCCCCGACAAAAAAAGAAGACACTGTCCCCACCTAGGGCGCACACCCGATTCCAGGGGCACTCCGCACTCAGGATTTAATAGTAAACGTCCTGGGAATGGAACATGATTTGCCCTGACTGCAAATTGCCTCACAAGGCGTAGGCCTCATTCTGGATTTGCAATTGACCGACCGACATAATTTCGCTGAACTGCCAAATTTTCCCCATTTTTGCCCCACAAGGTGTAGAGTCTGTAGACCACAAGGGTGATCTGCAAATGACCGACCAGCAAACAGCCCAGGACATTTTGGGCTGGCAAACCCATCTGGGTGATCTGCAATTTCTTTGCCAGCATCCCGGCACTCCAGCCTGAGATCCCTCTCAATCTCTGTGGTCTGGCCACTACTAACATCTGTCTTCACATTCTCCAGCACCCGCTTTATACACCACCGTACGTTATTGCAATCGCCCTTCAGCTTGATGTTGATCTTCCCTACCTGCAGGCAGAGCATGGTAATTGTACTACAATTGCCGTCCTAAAGTAGCAATGAGGGATCGCCAACTTATACTACGCAATGCTCAGGCAGAGGAGAGGTTTCATCCTCCGTCCAGCGTCTCTGCCTGCACTGTATCTGGCGATGGCCATTACATGTGGCCATTGTACATGTCTCTAAGGCTCTGATCGGTGGGAGCTGTGTGGCAACGGCACTGTGGTCCATGCCATGACTGATGCTACTGATTTCTTACACAACGATGCTGTTTTCTTGCCACACCAAATCATGTGCAGTCTTTTTTTTTTTTTTTTTCCTATTCTTAGCCAAAAAGACGAGAAAGGTATGAATCGTTTGCACACCCTTTGATGTCGAAGATCATTCTCTGCTGCACACTCTCTTTATGTAGAAGATCATTCTCTGCCCTTGTGCTGCAGCAGGACAATCCGTCAACACTCTCTGACCTTCTCTTTTGTACAGCTACAAAGTTACCAACCTAGGCTACCAGCCGGGCCGCCCGGGTCCCGGGTGGCCAGCCCGTGCAAGGACCAGGGAAGGTCCCAGCAAGAAAAAAAAAAGAAAAAAAAAAAACTCCGAAAAGAAACTGTGTTATGCAGAAAAATAAAATGAACAACTTTTGCCTCAGGGTCACATCGAAATTCTTCGCCAAATTTAAAATAAAAAATAAAAAATATATATATTTTTTATATTTTTTATTTTTTTTGGCCCGGCCGTGCAAGTGACCCCGGGCCACTCTGGTAACCTAGTAATACAAACACAATTACACTCGGCTGCAGCCGTCGTCGTTTGTGTCACAATCGCTAGAACGCCATGGTTTCCACATCCATGTGTGCAGAGGACTGTCCCTCCTTTCCTGAGTGCAGGCAGGCACCCTCTGCATCCGGACACTGTATGTCCATTTTGCGGCCATGGGGCATTATACTGAATGCATGTATTTTCTTTTGTGGTTTTCCCGTTCTTCCTTCATTTTGGCCTTTGTTGGGAGTGTTTGGTGGGCCTGCTCAATCCCAGCCGTTGTGGCAATTGTTGTACTGAGAATGCTCAGCTAGGTCTTCCGTGTCATCATCCATCTCATCCTTCCACACTGCTTACTTTCCCCTACTTCCCCTTGTCTTCCTCTGCTTTGTCTTCAATCCATCTTTGTGTGTGTTTATTCCCTCCCCCTTTGCACTCCCTCTTTTTCTCAACATATAAGTGGACTGTTATGGCACACAGGGATGTGGGCAGCTCGCACTCAACATCATCAATGTGACGAGCCTCGTATGTGAAAGGCACAGTAAATGGGGAGCTAAAAGATGAAGCGATCAATAGAAAAATAGTTTCAGTGCGCTCCCCTTTTTTTTTTTTTTTTTTTTTTTTTTTTTCTCCCCTTTTTTTTTTTTTTTTTTTTTTTTTTTTTTTTTTATTTTTTTTCACACTTTGCTTTTTTTCCCCCCCCCCCCCCCCCCCCTCCCCCCCTCCCCCTCCCCATCCGCATCGCCCCACCCCTTTTCCCTTAGGGACTCAACTTCTTCTAATCCCCTCCCCCTAATATTGTACAGCTACCAACCAGCTATCTAAGGCTACATAACACCTAACCCCCTCCCCCCTAACTACTGTACATGTCGGCTGCTTTTCTTGACTAGTCTAGTCCCTATTCAGATTCTTCCTCCATTTCTGCTCGGGGCCTCTGACACAGCAGCACCGTAGCCGTGGGTATGGGCCCCCATCTGGCCCAGAACCGTTCCCTTCTCCTGGATTCCTGCTTCGGTGCCAATCCGTCAGGAGAGCTACTCAAATATTTTCCAGTGCCCTGTCCTGGTAGGTCTGCAACGGGGGAAAGGTGCCCTGACTGCAGCGCTCGTTCCGTAATGTCCACAAGGCCCACACCACCGCCGCCCTCAGAATTTCAGCTGCCATCAAATCCTCCAGTGTTGCCCTGTCCACCTCCGTGGCCTCAAGCGGGGATTTATCCCCCATCTCTTGCGCCCACCACTCCCAGAAGGCCCACACTATTGGGCATCGTACAAACAGGCGGGGCACTGTCTCCACTTGTCCACAGCCTGCTGCACATCTCTGATCCTGTGGCTGCTCTCAGTTGCCAACCACTGCGCTGTGGGGACCGCTAGATGGTACAGCTGCCATAGCAGACCTGCCTGTTTCTGGTTTGGCAGGGCTGCCAGAAGTGCACATTGTTTATTCCACCTTTGCTGTGTCCATCTGCCGAAGTAGGCGTCGGGGATGCGGTTCCTTTTGGCCCACCGAGTCCTCTCACTGGCTCCAGTAGAGAGTTATAGATGTTCTTTGTAGTAAGATTCTGGAGCGGCACATCTTTCCTTGGCATTCTTTGTCTCGGATGCTCATTCCCGTTCTCTCGGATCCCATGTAAGATCCCGCCGTCTAGATGCGATACACAAGGGTACGTATTGTCCCTCCTCCCTATTTCCTCCTTCACATACCGCCACCGTTTCGATTATATCCCTCTCCATACTTTTCCGGGTGTTCCCTTCCCCCATCACGTCCTCGAGAGGTTCAGACTTTTTTTTTTTTTTTTTTTTTTTTTGGTTCATGTGCTGGTTTGATGACCAAGTGGTTATAAAGTTTCTTGAGGAATCAAGTCTGCTCTGTGCTTTGTTTTAATGTTCATTGAACCTTATCTCTCTCTTCCCCCCCCCCCCCCCCCCCTGGTTCCTTAGCATTTATCTTTTCCTGTTCGTGTTTTGCAGCTGGTACTCGGAACAGCGAGGATGGCTTTGTGATAGGGGTGTTTGTTTCTCAAGGGGTCATTGCAGCTGGTACACGGAAAAACAACAAGGATGGCTTTGTGATAAGGGTATTTGTGTCTCAAGGGGCCATCTGAGAAACTTTAGTAAGGTGACGAAGAGGTGAGGCGACGGGAGGGCAGGGTAAAGATGGACCTCCCGGGAATAGGGGGCTTCTCATGGCAGTACGTTGCCTCGCCCATTATGCGGCTGCCAGACGAGGTCCTCATTCAGATCCTCCCAAAGCTGCCTATTGAAGATCTTCTGCTGTCAGCACCGCTAGTTTGCCGACGATGGAAAGTACTGGCGAGAAAGCCAGAATGTTTCAAGGACTTGGACATTAAGGACTGGACGCGGAGGCAAGTAATTGCGTTATCTATACGAAACCCTGGCGGAAATAAAATTGATGCGTGGGAGTATTTATTTGTGAGAGACGGTAAAGCAGAGGTCTCTGATGGCTCAGAGGACTCAGAGGACTCAGCTGGTCTGCAGGACCCCAAGGCTTTGGCTGGAAATTCTTTCCCGATGGGGAACAAGGCAAGTGCCACAAACATGGTGCTGGGCATGGCCAAGGGAAGCAGCGTCCAAGCACCTGGTGGGTCGAGGGAACCTGTGGCTGCTGACGTCTCCTTGGGAACGGTAAATGGGAACGAAGGGCGTGTCGGAAGTGCAGCAGGATGTGGTGCAAGTGGAGCACCGCTACACACTCTGGGAGATGGAGGCCATGGCGCGTCTGTCCAGGGAAGCGAACATCTTAATCATGGAAATTGTATGGGAGGGTTAGGGGCAACGGCAGGAGGATCGGCCAAGAATGGAAAGCAAGTCGCGAGTGTTCAGGATGCAGACCGCTCCCGTTCGCGCGCTGCCATTGGCATGGCGACAAAATTTGCCGATATACTCCTGCAGAGACTGGCTTGGGCTGGAATGGGTCATGTGGAATCTTTGAAGGGTTGGTTCCTGTCGGACAGAGGGTTGGGATCTCTGGTGGCAACACGGCCGCGACTAACTCATCTTGAACTGTGGGGTTTGACTAGAAATATTGACAAGTCTCTTATCCAGCTGGCAGAGTGTTGCCCATACTTGACGCATTTGACGATCCATGATTTGTATCATGGACCTGGGTGTTACCTGAATGAATGCGACCACCGTGAGAATCCGACGGCGATCACGGACAAGGGGTTAAATGCGATTTCCCAATGGTGCACTGAACTGAAGGAGGTCCACCTCCTAGTCCCTACCAACTTGAGGGCATCCAGCTGGGAAGAAGAGTGGGTGCTTACTGCAACAGCGATCATGTCTCTGCTCAAGGTCTCACAGAAGTTACAGCGCCTAACTCTGGACCTGAGTGGTCTTAAAGCGAAGAATGTGGTGGATATTCTTTTGCTGCTGTCGACGCATGCTTCACAGCTTGTGTATCTCAATTTCTCTGTCTTTTGCCTTAGTGAAAACCTTGGGCCGTCCATACCCCATGTACTGAGACTGCTGCGGAAGGCCTGTCCGAACCTCACTGCGTTAAAGCTGCGGCTGGGCAACGGCGACCTGTCGAACACAGGCGTGATCGCACCACATTTTCGGGGCATGGTTGCGGGGCGGGCTTTTAAGGAGCTCACTTTCACAAAGATGCCATGGTTCAAAGACCGACACCTTACCGGTTTGGTGACTCAGCTGCCTATGCTTGAGAGGTTGGACGTCTCCTTCACTGCAGTTCAAGATGAAGGTATCATCAGCACAATGAACTCATGCCCAAGGTTGTACAGGTTGCGCGCATCCAAGTGTGCAGTGACTGATGCCTCTGTGGAGGTCATCGCGGAGAAAGGACGGCGGTTGACAGAACTCCGCCTCACTGACACGACAATAACAAACAAGGCAATATCGTTGCTCGCACGTGGTGTATGCAGCAAGCTTCAGGTGTTGTCCTTGGTGCCTGGGCATCGTGGAGGCCATCAAGCGGGGTTGTTATCGCAGAGCAGCTTCCAGGCTTTTATCAAGAAGAATGCGGGACTGAGAGAAGTCTGCCTCAGGGTTGATTCGTATCTACCGCCGGAGATGTACAAACCGCGTGAGCAAAAACAGAACTTCGACTTGTTCTTTGCTTCCTTGGGCCAGGTTGGGTATTCCCTGCATGTGTTGGTGCTTCAGACTGAGTTCATGGTAGGAATCAAGCCAGATGAGTTTTACCAACGGCTAATCGACTTTGCAGCAGTGTGTCCACATCTGTCGTCTCTTGGTTTAGTTGGTTTTAGAAAGTTGACGGAGGACATCTCTGGCCGCCTGGCAGCTGCGTTTCCTCTCCTTGAGCATGTGGCCATTATAAACTCCTCTAACCTTTCTTGGAAATCGGTAAGGAACTTCGCAACTGTTTGCAAGCGTCTGAAGACCGTGGACTGCTCTGGGTCTATCAGCACGCTTTCACAAGAGAAGTGGGACAAACTACAGGCAAGTATTCCCACTCACATTGAGCTTTTGGGCCTCAATAAGGTAGAATGGAGGAGATTGCGAGTTACAGTGCCGGAGTACGCGGAGGCCGAGTATCGACATCTTGAACCAGAGACTGTGCATGCTGAGGGTATGCTCTGTGGGCATTTCGCTGACGGTGGACTGTGTTGGTTGGACGACTGATTGCAAATGTGGTTTGTCTCGTCAAGGGAGCGATTTGATCCACCTGGGCTCTGTTCATATGAACCTTCACCTAATCTGAAGGGGTGGGGGGTTTGGGGGGTTGTGTGTTTGAGAGGGGGGGGCGGGGGGCCGGTGAGGGGGAGGCGAGGAAGGGAGGGAAGTGGGGCCTTTAAACCTGCCACTACCCTTCTCATCTAGCGCATGCATGCTGCCCTAGCACTTGATGCGGGGCCATGGAAAGGTTAAGCCTTCTGTATCTTTTTTGGTTGGCGGTGCCTGGTAAGCGTTTGTTGCCGCCGGTTCCGATTTTTAGGCGTGGGCAAAATAGCGCAATGCAGAAAAGAGGCTCCGATGTAGTGGTGGTTTAACGACGCCCGCGGTTCTGACTGTGCACAGAACCTCTGATGAATAGAAACTGAGGGGCACAGGTGCAACACAGGATTGGCATCTGAAATGATAGCAATTCCATGTTCGCTGAGAAAAGCTTAGTTAGGGACAGGTCACACGGCATATGACCTTGCACAGTTGTAGCAGCAGTGTCTTCTTGTTATGTCAATTACAAGGCACTGTGGTTTCCTGGGAGGGGGAAAGGGGGGGGGGGGGGTAAAAGGGGAGCAAAGAAACAGGGAGAGGGAAGGTTGATTCAGGGTGCTGCTGTAGTTATTTCCAGACAGCAACACGACTGGAAGATCGATTTTGATGCCAGAAGACTGTGGAGAAAAAAAAGTGGAAAAAGTCTCAG